ACTTTTTAAAACAGCGTTTTAGTGTTTTATTTTTGTTCCAGATTTGTGAGATTTTGACTATGAAGTATTGTGGAGTGGTTGTTCTATGTCTACTTGTTATAAACATCTCATTTACCTGGGTTCTCATTTCATTTTCCAGATTTGGAAAATTATCTGCAATGATTTCAGTATTTTGTAGACTGTTAGATTTCTTTTTTTTTTTTAGCCCTTTTAAACTTCTATAATCCTTAGATTTGTTCTTTTAGAGTCATCTAGGAGCTCTTGAATCATTTTCTTGTAGCTTTTTTTTTTTTGAGTAACTGAGTAAATGGTCTACTACACCAACTTTATCTTCAAGTCCTGGTATTCTATATTCTGACTGATAATACTTACTGTCAAGTCTTTCCATTGAGTTTTTCATTTCCAGGATTCATGCTTGACTCCTTCTCATAATCTCTAATTCTTTACTAATGTGGTCATTCATATCCTGTATTGTTTTCCTTTAATCATTCAGCTTCTTATTTGCATCTCCTTTAATCTCATTGATCATCATATTAATTGACTCATTTAGCTGTTTATTTACATATTCTTTAAGCTCATTAAGCATCTTAGTAATGGTTTCATTTGCTCATTTGTATCTTCTTTGGTTTTTCAATTATTTTAACTAGTTTTGGAGGGGTCTTTGCCTGGAATTTCATCCACTTCCATCCGCGTCAATCAGCTGTTGGGGAGTTATGAATTTTTGGAGGCATTTGTTTTGCCATTATTCTCAATGTTTTTTTGTTGAATGTTGTAGATTAATTGAAACAGAAGACCCTACCACTATTGTAGAGACCTCCCTAATAAACAGGTTTTTCCTTGTGACGTCCCCTTAACTTTGGGTATGATTCAAAGTGCGGGAACCGACTCTGTCTATACGAAGTACTAGGTTCGGGCCCAGCTCTCCCTTGTGAGGAGAGAATAATTAACAGTAATAATAACTTCCAAAGAACAAATCATATGTTAATACTTAATTAAAACTTGTTTAAAAATTTTCAACTCTATCAATATCCCAGGAAATTAAAAGTATAATAGTGATGAAGAACAGGCAGGGGACTAGAAGAAGAAAATAAAGAGGGAAGAGGATAAAAATAAAATGAAGCAATGTAAGTAAAAACAAAAAGAGGAGGAAAAAATGAGGAAAGAAGTTTTGGTATTATATTTATGCCTGGACAGGATCAGGAGGGAGAGAAGTTCTGACAGGTTATGTCTGTGTGTGTTGGGGGTTGGAAGGGTGGTAGAGAGAAAGAAAAGAACACGTAAGTGGAGAGTGTGAGAGGCTTCATGGGTGTGGAACTAATTAATTGTGTATCTTTCTGCAGAAACGCACTGTTGGAAGACTCAAGAAGTGATTCTTGGTAAGGGAGAAATCAAGTGGCCAATGTTAATCCTGGTAGATCAAAAAATTCATCTACATCCATACACAGTTTCATACACACTGTGCTCCACACCCACACTTTGGGAGTGAATGAGTCTAAGGATATGAAGAGATTACTGAGTCAATCTCATAGACTGACTGTAGGCAGGGTGGAAGGGAGGGAGAGCAAACTCTGCCCAAATCCAGTATTGCTCACTGCATACTGCTGTATTATGGGGCCTCTAGTTTTTCAGATCCTTTGTTGGACATTTTTCTGCTCCCCATAATGAGTTTTAGCCTGAGCTTCTCTGGCAGCCATAAACATTCAGACCACTCCACATGTCCTTCTGACCTCTGGAGCCCCTGGTTTCCTTTTCTCAGCTTTCTCAGAGCTTTTGAGTTCAGTGATCTCCAGGAGTTAGGGAAGAGGTTTCCTCAGTTAGTGCAGGACCTTGCAGGTCCTAATTGCCTCAGGGCTCTGTATTTATCTTTAATTGTTTGTAACTCCCACTGCCCAAAACCAGAGAGGCAGGGATCACAGGTAGCTCCACCCGTAGTGTGGGTGATGGCAAGTGGGGCAAGTACCTGGTTGTGTCTGTGCTCTGCCTTCTTTTCCCAAAACACTTTTGCATTTCCCAGGGTAGCAAGATCTCTGAGCCTGGACCAGGCTCTGTGTTCATAGTTGAAGAACTGACTTACTGCTATTATCACAGATTCTGGGTTATGACCTGGCAGGGAATCTAGGAAGTTCCACCAGGGCTAGGGGAAAATGGCATCTGGATGAGTTCCCAGCTGCAGCCACCACACTGCCTTCTTTCCCTGAAAATTTTGTGCATTGCACAGAGTGGCTAATTCTCTGGACTTGGGCTGGGATTTGTGCTGGTGACTTCAGGGTCTGTTTGTTATTATTATCACAGATTCTGGGCTGTGCTCTGGTGAGAGACCATGCAGCTCTGCTCTACTGTGAACAGCAGTGTCTTCTGGGCTTGTATGTTGCTTCCCTTCTTATTCTAGCTTTCCCATTTTCTGTATTTCACCTGTTCACTATGTAGCTTGGCATGTATTCTGGTGGTAGCTAATTCTACTATCTTGTTTAGCTGCATTTGGACTGACCTTGCCTCAGAGCTTCCTGTGGACGCTGCTTCATCTATGCTGCCATGATGCGTACTGTCTAAACTTTGTACTTATGAAAGGTTGTATATGAAAATTGATGTCTTGATGGCTCATTTACCTCCTGGCTATCTTGCCAAAGGGAATGGCACTGGACAGGGTCTGAGGAGGCTCCCCAAAGCAGAGATGGAGAACATAGATTCACCCCACCCATGGGGCAGGTTGCCATTACCTGACTTCCATTACAGAAAAAATTCTCAAGATAGGCCAGTAAGAGACATAAAGAGGTTTATTTGGCAGAATTTTTAAAGTATAAGCTCAAGGAAAATAGAGTGTGGAGGCCCTCAATAGAGAGGGAACAAAATATAACTTTAAAAATCTCTTTATTGAAGATAAATTATTTTTCCACCTATAATGGTTTCATATTTTTGTGGTATTTGTCTAATATCATCCAAACTGTCTATTTGTGTCAATATGGGAAAAGAGGAATTCTAATGAAAATATTAATTGAACTTACCTTAAATGGAAGTCTGTACTGATTTTCTCAAATACAGGAAAAAAAAATGAGAATAGGCTATCAAAGATGGAAGCATGCAGATTCTGTTCTGAATTCTGTGGTCACTGTTCAGAAGTTAGCCTGACTCCTCAGAAAAAGAAGTACATGCAAGTATCACAGGCAGTATTCATTCTGCCTGAAGCTTTAGAGGGGAATGCTTAGGATAAAACCCATCTTTTAATCTCATGAGGAGTTTTCCCATTTCTGAAACATCAGTGTTACAAAAGTCGAGTGTTATGCCCATTTGCTACAGTAGAGTAAAACAGAGACATACAGCATATCAGCCCTCAGGGACAAAGGCTGCAAGTGGAGGACTGTAAAGTCCATGGAAAGTGACTTTTTAATAATCTGTAAGATGACATGTGAAGTACATATAAAATGTTTGAGATAATGCACTTGTGCAATTATTTGTTTGTTAAACTGAACAAGAAGTATACTAGCTGTAATTTTTACAAAACTATAACTGTCCAGACTTGGATGTTTGGCAGCTATTTTCTCAAAATGAAATGATGTGGAAAACTACTGAAAGAATTTGTGACCAGATTTTTAATCTTGTCGTTTACCCAATAAGCCCATTGGGAATTAGACTTCTGACTCTTAGAGATCCATTTCTAAAAAGCCACACAAGTTTAATTTTTGTCAGTCAGCAGAAATCACTTTTATATGGTTCCTCTTTTTCTTCCTAATACTTAAAAATTAGTATTGATCCAATCATTATTTGAGAATAAGATGAGTGCATTATACTGGTATATATTTCCTAAGTGATGATGCAAAAGTTAACTTATAATGTAGAAAATATTATGTTGAAAAATTTTCATTATCTTGATTATAGACCTTGGTCTTGCATAGTGCATTGAATTTTTTAAAAATTATGTTTCATACTTTCCAAATTTCATAATTCATAATGGATGACAGAACCTCTTAAAAAGGTTCTGGGAATTATGTTTACTGTGATATGTATCCAAAGATTTAATGTTTATTCTATATCAGTTGTAATCATTAGAAATTCAATGATAATATTTATTATAGAAACATTGCAATTTGAAACTCTAAGTATAACATTTAACATGTCCTTACGTGAATGGAATTCATAGATAGCTTTATCATAAAATGGCTTGTTGTGTACTGCTATTCATTACCAACATACATGTTTTTCTGCTGGCTTGTAAGTTCTTCTGGGAAAGGATCTATTCATGGTTGTAAATAACATCCTGGATGAATGAACAAAGCTCTTTTTCTTACGCTGATTGTCTTATTCACTTTCTCATTGTTCAGATAAAATTCTCAATACCCACAGTTTAAAGGAGGAGAGATTTATTTGCACTCATGGTTATATGGTGTTTCAGTCTTTAGGTGAATGGCTCCAAGGCAAAAACGGCATAACTGAGAGGTGCTGCAGAAAAAAGCTGCTCAAATCATGGGAACCAGGAAGCAGAAGGAGAAGTGAGGAGCCCTGGAGGGAGACATACCCTTCCAGGTCACACCCCTAGTGACCCATTTCTTCAAACCAGACCTGACCTCCTAACAGAACACTCTGTTCATAGTGTGGATGAATCCACTGACGAGTATAGCACTGCCGTAATCCAATCACTTTCCAAAAGCCCTATCTCTAAGTTCATGAGACATTCTAGTTTTAAAACATAACAAAATCTATGAGAATCTATGATCCAAAATCTATGAGAAAATAGAACTAGACTATACTTTCCATCCTCTTTTGTGGCGAGGGCAGTCTGGTGACTGAGTCTTAGGAAGCAGAAATAATGTTCACCTCTTGTTAGCTGAGCCTCTGAACATCTCCCAAGGGTAATCCTTGATACTCATGTTCCTTATGGCTGAATTGGGACCCTAGCTGTGAGCATGGAGCCATTTGTGATGTCAGAATTGCTGTTGTCACTCTGCCTCCACCTCCATTGACTTAGGTCACCACCCTTGCCTCTGATGTTTCATTTTTGGGAAATAAACCGTGATGTGTTCAGGCATGATATACTTATGTCTGTTTATACTAAAGCCTAACTAGCCTATCTTACTCCACTAGTTGAAGATGGCACCAACCCAGTCTAACAGAGTCAGTTCTCTTTTCTAATTCCGGCCAGACTAGAGGTAAATATCCAGGGTGGCATCTGTCTATTCAGGTAGCCAGTAACAGTGTAGTGTTCACCATCTTCTTGCCTTTGGAGGTATACTGAGAACACAATAGTGCATAAAGAACACATGCTCCACTGAAAACTAGGGAAAAGACAGCTAATGGGGAAATGATCAAAACTCCAGCCAACAACAAATGTGAAATATTTTTAAGTTGTGCTAAGTGCTGTAAAGGAAACAAAACTACATATGAGGATAGAAAACATCGTGTAGTTTCTCTTATATGAGAAATATAAATATAAATGAGGAGCAAAATAAAGATATATAATAGGGAGAGTAGGGAGATGGATCTTTCTGGAATGGTAAGGGGATGAACAGCTGGAGGAGGAGGGGATCGAGGGGAGGGCAAGGGATGAAAAAGGAATTAAGATGTGTTATATATATATATCAACTCCACACAAGGAATGTAAACATAATGTACTGCAAACATGGACTAATGAAAATAAATAAAGTTAGAAAATGAAAGACCTTGATGTGGAGAATTTTGAGTGGGAGTTGGTTAAGGAAAGGCCTCTCTGAAAAGGTGACCTTTAGGGAATTATCTCGAAGATGAGAAGGCCCATCAGTGCAGAGCATGGAGTTAAAATCACTTCAAGCAGATGGAGCTGCATGTAAACGTTGTAGCATGGGAAATAATGGGCAAATCTGGACCCCTAAAACAGACCAGTGTGGCACATGGAATGAGAGATGATGCTGGGCTAAGCAAAGCTGAACTCTGGAGTGGTTTTCAGCCATGTGAATGTGCCAACATTCTGATTCCCTGTTCATAAATGTCCTCTTGGACTAGCTAAAGACAAGGATACTCACATTCATGGCATGTTTGTTTTATCCAATTATTTTGTTCTATGTAGACTCACCCTATAGAAGGGGAACTACACCAGAGCCAAAAGGCAAAGTGGTCCAATGTATCTGATTCTATTTTTTTTCCAAGTAACAGCCACCTGGGTTACTAAAGACATTTTCTGAAATTAAAAAAAATTGTCTTTTATGAAAGTGTCTTTTATTTTGTTTTATACATAGCCACATAACTTTAGTGATTAAAGTTAATAAATAAAAATATGAATAAACTCATTTTTCTCTTCTGTGAGTTAGGTCATTCAACAACATGTCATTACAATTTATTATTAGAACTCATAATTACTTTGGGTTTCTCTTATCACTTGACGATAACATGATTCATTTAAGATACTGAGGCTGAATGTGATAATTACGTTTTTTGTCATTTTCTTAAATGTTCCAGTGGCTTTCTGTCTTCTTCTCTAATTTCCTTTTTGCTGGGACAAAATATCTAACATCTCAAAGGAGGAGAGGTTTATGTTGGCTTTTTTTCCTCCATGTTGTCTGGCATGGTGGAAGAGTCTGGAAGAGGAAAGCTGCTCATATCTTGGAGGCAAAGAAGCCAAGAGAGAAGGGAGGAGCTGGAGACAAGAATATTCCTTCTTCCTCATTCTCCTTCCTCCTTCCTCCTCAGTGATAGGCCTCTACCAAAGACCTACCCCTTCACACCAAGTCAGCTGTAGTGCCCCCATGACCAAACCACCTACCAAAAGCTTCATCTCTGAGGGTATGAATGTGTAGGGGTCATTCATGTCCAAGCCACAGCACTCTCCTTTTCTTCAGCATCCATTTAAATAATTTTCTTAACAACCCTGCCCAAACTAAGGTCAGGCTCTTTGCTGCTGTGACACATTTTCCTGCCAGTAGCTACTTGTATAATCATTTCCATAGACTTCTCACAGTTTCCACACAATGTTTTGCCTAAAGGATTCTTCCTTGAATGTCATGAGTCAAGGGTACCTAACATAAAATCCATGGAGTATCATTTAAACAGCTTTATATAGATGGAAAAGACAACTTTCCACTTGGAAATAGACCTTGGGCTTCTTTCTATTAATTAATCTTATTCATCAACAGTGACAGTTTATAAAAGCATTCAGTAAGTTTCCAGACAAACTTGGAATCTAAGAGCTTCTGGCTCAGAACCCTGATGAATTGGTGTGTTGACTGCCTAGGGTTATTCCACTGCTGCTTGTCCTAAAAATGAAACCACCAAACACAAATAGAGCCATTACATTGTCCTCCAAAAATTATTTCACCATAGTTTTACTCTAACAATGGCTTGTTCCTTGGGTTTTAAGGCCACAGAAATGTCATCTCCCCATCATGTGACATCATGGGAAAGGAACCACTCTGAGTTACTTTTCTTTTAATTAACATGAAACAAAGAACTACTTTACTAAGGTAAATCAGTTTTCTGTTTCATGAATAAGCAGAAAATCTGAGGTTCTACACAAAAAATAAGACAATATAATGTTCTTCATGTAAAAATTTATCCCTATGCCTGGCACAAAATGAACATGTGATTAATGGTGCCTGCCATTATGATTGCTGTTTTCAGCTCTTTAAAACTCTTCTTTGAACATGGATTGCTTGAATTTCAAACATACATTAATCAATCAGCCAATTAACAAATGTTTATTAATTGCTAATTCATAGCTACAAATGTTATAGTAATTCCGGGAGGGGGGGAGTTCACAATGGGGTAGATAAGATTTTGCATTTATTCATGTACAGAGTAGCATTTAAAGTAGGATTTAAGGGATGTTTAAATTTTTATAGGAAGCAAGGGTGTGTTTTTTTCTACCTATTCCCCCAAACTGTATTTTATTTTGAAATAGTTCAAACTTACAAAAAATTTTGAAAAGGAACACATATTTTTTCTTAACATAGGTCCCCCATTTTTATTATTTTTCTACATTTGCTTTATTTTCAGTCTTTTGTTTCACTTTTTGACTGAATCATTTGAAAGTAAGTTGCAGGCATCCTTCATTTTATACCTTAATATTACAGTATGGATCTCCCAAAATATAATTACAGTATAATGATTTATCCAAGAATATTTTAAAAACTCTGCCATAATATCATCTATTATACAACCCATCTTCAGTATTTTCCATACTTTTATTTTCTGGTCCAGGAAACAATACACAAACATTTGATTGTGAACAGGGTTCTATCACCAGTCCTAGATGATTCCTTTGCAGGCAGTAGGGATGCTTTTTAACACTTATATTAATCCAATTGAAATCTCATTTAATAGAATATTCTGGAAAAATCATGCTGACAATTAAAGCCATTACTCATATAGTTCACTTTTTGGAAGAAAGCTATTTCATGTTAATTTTCTGATAATTGAAGAGATAAAAAGGAAAAGAAGAGATTGCTTTTTCTTTAATTACCTGCCTAACTGCTTTAATTTTCCAAGCTGTTTTGTCACTCATGGTCTGGACTTAGCATTGCGCTGGGAATACAGGTGGCCCATAGGTAAATATTGTTTTTCTACATTCTGTGGCTAATTTGGAATAGTTAGAAACATAGAGACCTATTTCTTTCCCTGCTTTTTTTGTAATACGTAGATCACATCTCCTTGGAAATAATTAGGATAAGTAATAATGCTTCACAGCTGCTGAGTTATTAGCCAAATGCTCACCAAATGGGATCTCTCATTAGAACTTGTGAACAGGTAATCTTTTTAGATAAATGAACCTCTAATTTTCATATCCATTTATATAACACAGATATCTCCTTTTATATTGGTTTATAATGTCTTGTCACATAGGATGGTATATTTGAATTCCCATTTTAAAGAATGTGAAATCATTACTGACATTTGATTAAGGTCTTTTTCAAAGTGGCACAGAGTCCACAAGGAATGAAATCCTAGGGATAGGAATACTTTATTCATTAAGACTCAGATTTTTTTTCTAGTTCTAATTTAAAAAGGAAAGTCACACCTTTTGATGAATGGCTTGATACTATCATCATTATGCAAGTCCATATGGTAATTGTTATCAACATAAAAATAGTGTTCATGTTCTCATTTAACCAAAGCTTCTGAATGGAAGTTAAAATTAAGTTATAGATGAAAACAGGTGAGAACATTCATGTTTCCCCTGAATCTGAGCCAGATTGTTTCAGGATCTAAACTGCAAGCCAATAACAATTTAAGCATTTGGGGAGAGTGCAATCTTTTTCTTGATGAACTGAGAGAATTCCAGTATCTTTCTTCATTGTAAGTAGAAAAACCTCACCTCATTTACAGGAGTTAATAAATACACCTGCAACAGCTCTATTTTTCTCCTCCATTAAAAGATAGAATTAAACTGGCAAGCTCATGTGGGATTGTAAAATGGTGCAGATGCTCTGAAAACAGCCTGGCAGTTCTGAGGAAAATTAAATGGAGTTCTCATATGACCCAGAAATTCCACTCCTAGTATTCAAAAGAAATTAAAGCATGTCCTTTCAAAAACCTTCACATATAAAATAAATTGAAACTCAAGTCCCTACAAACACCTGTATATGATTGTTCAGAGTAGCTTTTGGTCATAATAGCCCTAAATGAAAACAAAACAAATGTTCATCAATTGATGAATGGATAACTAAAATCTAAACTACAGGTACTATTTAATGTTACTAGGAAATAATCCTATTTGGTAAATAAAAAGATGATGTACTTAATGTATATCTACTACGTACTAAGCCTTGAAAATATTAAGCAAAGTAGAAGCCATTTACAATAAAAACATATTTTGTGATGCCATTTATATTAAAATTTCAGAATAAGCAATTCTATAGATATAGAAAGTTGATTATTGGGTTTTTAAATGGATAGTGACTGGTAGTGAGTACAGGGCTTCTTCTAAGGGGACAAAATATTTTAAAATTAACTGGTGAAGGATACACAACTTCATGGATGTACTAAAAACTTTCAAAGTGTACACTTTAAAATGGGTCAGTTATAGTGCTCACTTTGGCACCACATATACTAAAATGGGTCAGTTATATAGTATGTAAATTACTATATCTCAATAAAGCTACTTTATGTGTGCCTAATATTTAACATGAGTATACTATATTATGTTAATTATAGCATATTATTGATATATTCATTTGATTTCTTTCTGGGGAAGTAGAAGGTGGTGGTATGTTATACAGCCATAGGATAATGCAAAAATTATTTCATAATTATTGTATTTTTGGAAAAATATTTGAGAAAGATTTTTATCCATAACATTTAGCCAATGAATATCTGAAGACAAAGCACAAGTGCCATGGTTATGTAATCTATGTCCAATTTTTTTACATTTATTTATTTTTCTAAATTTTATTTTATTGGTACATTTTAGGTATATAATATAATGACATTCATCATTGGAAATTTGGACCTTTACCTAATCTCTCTTGGTTCTTATCTTTTCCCTTTCCCCTGGCCTCCCTTCAACCCCTCCATCCCTTCCTATTTACAAAGACTTTGTTTCCATTTTTTCATTTTCTCATATTAATTCCATTCCCTTCTTTCCTTTCCCCTAGCTCTCCCATTTCCCCTTCCCCTTTGCCCCTTTTCTTCCTATTTCACATTATCTATTATACCATTTAGTCCTTATTTACTCTTTAAGTTTCTCACACTAGAGAAACTATTCGGTATTTACACATGCATGTCCTATTTATTTCACTTAAGAGTATCGCCTCAATGTGCATCCATTTAGCAATAAATGTCTCTAATTTCTCATTTTTGATGGCTGAGCAGTACTCCATTTTATTTAAAAAAAACACATTTTCTTTATCCAGTCTCCAGTTGATGGGCAATTAGGTTGTTTCCAAGTTTTAGCTATCATGAATTGTGCTGCTATGAACATGGGTGCACATATATCACTGTGGTATGATTCTTTTAATTCTTTGGGGAAGATATACAGCAGGGGAATAGTTGCATCAAATGGGACTTCCAGTCCTAGTTCTTTGAGGTATCTCCATACTGATTTCCACAGTGGTTGCACCAGTCTACACTCCCACCAGCAGTGGAGCAGTGTTCTTTTTTCCCCACAGCCCCGCCAGCATTTTATGTCCATTTTAATATGAATGGGGCATGGACAAGTCATAATACATAATATGTAGGACATGAAGATCACTTCCTCAGTAAAAACAATGAATAAGGTGGAGATTGCTGTTCTTTTTTATTTGGTTTAAGTTTGTGATACATAATAATTACATTCTTTTGGCCAATGATAATATATGTATAATCTCAATCATTTTTGATCATTTCTTCCCATCCCTACCCTGATCCCCTTCCCTATATACAAAAAGACTACCTCCCTGTTTTCTACTCTCTCTCCTTTTACTCTTTAATTTATTTATATTTTGGGTTTCTCATATAAGAGAAACTGCAATATTTAATGTTCTGTTTCTGATTTACTTCATTATCATCTCAAATCCATCCATTTTTCTACAAGTGACTCAAATTTATCTTTCCTTATGGGTAAGTAATACTCCATTGTATTTATATTTTCATTTTCATTAGTGATCCACATTTTCATTAGTGATCCATCTGTTAATGGGTTATTTCTATAATTTAGCTATGGTGAATTGTGCTATTATAAACATGGATATGCATGTGTCACTGTAGTACAATGTCTTTAATTCTTTCAGGAAGATACCCAAGAAAATTATAGCGGGGTCAAATGGTCAGCACCCAGAGTGACTGCAGGAGTTGACTCTTAAGCACAAATCGATTTGGCCTTTACTCACCAATCTCCCTCCCTCCCTTTCCCTGTGCCCAACAGCAAAAGAGCTGGAATCAAAGGAGAAAGAGAGAGAAATGGAAGAGCAAACAATAGCCTTCTACCCTCCATTTCCAGCACAAGCTGGAGGCAAACAAAAAGATGAGATTGGAGCTCAACTGGTAGAAAAAAAGTCCGTAACTCAAAGGAGATCAGCTACTTCTGCAGCAGGCCCTATGCTAATTACTTTATAAGTACTCATTCTTTCAACTTACACCAGCTCTATGAGGTAAATACTATTTTGATCACTACTTTATAGGTAAAAGAACTGAGAGACAGAGATACTTAATCTATTTTCCTGAAGTCATACAACTTGCAGTGGCAGGCTAGCCAGGTAATGGGTCCTTGATTTAAACCATTACGTGAGATGACCTTTCAACATGTTAAAGACTGGTGAAGGAGATTTGAGAATGTTGTTCAAATGGTTTTAAATATAAAAATAAATAAAAACGTTTAATGATTACACTCCAAGAAATTCAGACTGGTGTCAACTAGAAATGCATAAACATGAATAAATACATTATGAGTATACACACAGAAGTTACTTCAGGATGTTTACCAAAACATTAACAGCAATTATCACTAGGAAGTAAGATTATGGTCACCAGAGGATTATGTTTTTCATTGTATATCTTCCTATTTTCTACCATGAATAAATACATAATACTTTACATATTAATTAGAAGAGATATAGTAAAAATTATATAATCCCAAGTTAAATCTAAATTCAAAGCACTTCATTTACTACCAAATTCCTTTTTCTATTTGTTATTCCAGTGAGAGAATTTAATGAAGTTACTACATTCTTAGGAATTTTATTTACAACCAGTAAATCAGATTAAAAAGTAGAGAGAAAGAAATGAAGACTACCAGAAACCTCTTCGAGGAAAGGGCATATTTATCTAGTTCATCATGTATCCCAGGCAGGAAGCCTAGCACCCAGTGAAAACCACCACCCAGGAAATCACAGTTTTGGTGTCTCTGTGGCCATCATGGCTCAGTTGTGATGGCAAACTGCGGTGTCCAGGATGCCTGGTGCATAGCAGCAGAAGTGACTTGGAGGGCCCTAGGTACCTGGCAGATAAAGGGAGAACTCAGAAGAGAAGTGAAAGGGCTACGGGCACTATGGTAACTGAACAAGAGGCAGATGTTTGTGCATCTTCATAAGTTCTTTAGGAACAGAGTTCAGGGAGCTGTCTCTGCGTATGTAACTGGAGACAAAATGAAATGACATAAAGGTGATTACCATTAATGTTACCCAGTTAGTATAGAACAAATGGGGCAAAGTGATAAACCACCTTTCCTGCAAAGCCATCCAGTGTTTGACTATGCATTTTGTGGCTGAATATGCATTGGTCTTCAAAGGAGTTGATGGGGTATTTCTACAGGATAACACATGCAAGCATCCTGGCCATTACCTACAATTTAGAACTTTTGTCTAAAGTTTTGGCTTTGGCTTTGTATGGATGTTATAATATTTCTAATGTTATGAAGTAAATTTCAAGCTCAATTCCATGGACAAAGACTGACCTAAATGATGAATATATTAAGTGAAAATGTTTCATATTTATCTCCACTTACCCACTCTTGGTCCATAATATATAATACTATCAGTTGTTCAAATTATATAATAATGTTTCTCCTGGAATTATTTTCCATTATTCTGTTGATATTGTTATTTGGTGAATTTTATTTCTTCATGGACACTGAAAAAACCAGGCCTTGGTCAGATAGTAGAATCTTAGCAGAATTCAAATTAATGAAATTTAATCATAAGAGTCATTACATTTTACCATTAAAAAGTCTAGCTGCTTGCCCTGCACCAAGTGCATATGGTATAGATAGGTATCTAATCGTAATTTACATGCCACCTCACAAGCAATTGAAGGACTTTGAGATTAGATATGTCTGTAACAACTGCCCCATTGATTATTAGGATTCTTAAATTATTTTCTTGACAGGCTATTAGGTCATTCCATATATAT